CCAGTCCAGGACTTGTCTTTTGGGAGTTGTTAGTATTGTTGTTGGGAGTTGTTGTTGTTATTATTACTGTTTCTTTTTTTTTTTATCCTCACCCGAGGACATTTTTCCATTTTTTTTGTTCAGGTAGAGTGGGAGGGAGAGAGAGAGAAACATCGACATGAAAGGGACACATCGAGTGGCTGCCTCCCGCACGACCCAACCAGGGCTGGGAACAAACTGCAACCAAGGTACGTGCCCTTAGCGGGAACCGAACCCAGGTCTCTTTGGACCGCAGACCAACGCTCTAACTGCTGAGCCAAACCAGCCAGGGGTGTTTGTAGCCTTTTTGCTTTTGCATTATTTAGCATTATGCTGGCCAGGTCAAACCATGAGTAAATAGTTCTAGTTTAAATAGTTCCCTGACCTCGAATGTTCCCTCTAGGAGTGTACTGCAGTTTTTGGATTCATAATCTGTTGGTGGTTATTTAGATTGTTTCTAGTGTTCACTGTTAGGAATATTATCATTCTTGAACACTTGCTGGCATGTGTGAGTTTCTCTAGGGCAGTGCTTCCCAGCCTTTGTCACATCATGGCACACACAGAAAAGCATATTTTTACTTAGGTTAGTGAGGGGCTCCGAACTCCTCTGACCCTACCCAGCAGCCTCTGGGGCTGCAGCATTAAGGTCTTACGTAACAGTTGGGAGCTCTGTCCTGGAGATCATTACCAGGAGAGGCACTGGGGATAGCATCTTCAGCTCAGTTAGATGTAAACAGTTGTGTCAATTTACATTCCCCACAGAGGTCTGAATTTTTGCTAACACTGGGCAGCACTGTCAAACCTTTTAATTGCCAGTTTGGTGGTTACGATATGGTACTGTGTTCAGTTAACATTTCCTTATTTCTAATGGGTTGAGCATCCTCTTATGTTTGTGTTTCATTGTATGGCTGCCTGATTGCATGTTACACATTTTCCCATTTCCCTTTTTGCTTTTTAGAAGTATGTATTCTGGATTTTATTCCTTTATGGTTTTATGTCGTAAATATAAACAATGTAAGTCTGGCCTGCTATAGGTTTTTTTGTTTTAGAGAGAGTAGTGGGGGGGGTGGGGACAAACATCCACAGGATAGAGACACATCAATTGATTGCCTCGCACACACGCCCCAACTGCTGGGGGATTGAACCTGCAACCCAGGTACATGCCCTTGACTGGGAATCAAACCCCCAACCCTTCCATGTGTGGGCCAGTGCTCTAACCACTGAGCAACACTGGCCTGTCACAGGTTTTTTAATGCTGTCTTTTGGTGCCTCAGTTTTTACGTTGTTTTTTCCATTTTGGTTTCCTGTCTACCTTGGTATTCAACTAGGAATGACTTGGATCCCTTGGGGACATTTGGCATTGTCCATAGACAGTTCTGGTTGTCACAGTGTGGGAGTGGGAATGCTACTGGCATCTAGTGGGTAGGGGCCAGGGATGTTGGTGTGTACCCTATAATGTGCAGGACAAAGTTATCTAACCCAAACTGTCAGTAGTGCTAAGGCTTAGAAATTCTGCCCTAGAGATTCTGATTCAGGAACGAGGCAGCTTCCTAGAATCTGAATTTGTAACAAGTACCTCAGGTGACTTATGATCAGGCAAGTTTGGGGACCACAAAAGTACAGAGAAGAAACACCTTAGTATGGCGAGGAGAGGTCCGTGAAAGCTCCCTAGCGGAGGTGGGGTAGGAAAAGAAGAGAGCAAGTACATGTATGCTGGTGGGGCTGGGAGAAGGTGAGCCTAGCGGCCCTGTCCCTCTGGCCCTGAGAGAAGCCACCGAGGTACCTGAAAGCCACACAGACTCCCTCTGGGGGCTGGAACATGCCACCTCTGGATGCTGCTGCTGCTTTGTTCTCAAGCAGTGATGATGAAATGTGCAAAGGGTTTATTGTCAAAGACCTAATTTGAGTACATAGCATTGTGCTATGTACTCCCCATACATTCTTTATTGAACCTTCATGCCAGCCCCGTGAAACACCTTTTTAGGAGAGGAAACTGCTGGACAGAGAGGTTTAGTAAAACACTAACGTCATCCGGCAAGTACGCAGAGCTGAGTTTCCAACATAGGCCCACGCTCTTAGGCTGTGCTGCATCTCTCAAACCATCCCAGAGCCTCTGGTCTGCACCCTGCCTGTTCCCTCCAGCCTTGTCGAAGGGACCGCTGGACCCCAGGCTGCTCTGACGTGTACAGCTTTCCTAACTGGCCTGTGTGCTCTGTGGCAGCAGGAAAGACACCCCACGAGTGTGGCTTTCTTTTGCTTTTCTACGTGCAAGGCTGTTTCAAAGGGATGGATTCCTGCTTTGGAAGTAACTAAAATACTTTAAAGTCAAAATGTTAATTAAAACCTCATGGAGTGTGTGCTTGGCTTCTTTGCCCTTATTTGTCCAAAGTATGATTTCTTCACCACAAGCATTTCCTGGCAGCATTCTTGAGCTGGAGCCCAGTGTGACGGTCTGCCTATTCGTTTCTGGAAACTGCAACAGTCCAGAGTACTTGAAGTCACTTGAGTAATTGATTTCAGGGGCCTTCATGCTTTCCAAGCAGCTGAGTCGTCCATGCGTCAAAGACAGACTTGGGGTTGTTTTCTTTCCAGAGCAGCTGGTTGAGATGATTGCTGTTTCTCTTAAAGACTGAGGTTCTGCTTCTCGGAGCCTTTGTGGTCATCTGTGGAGAATTCAGGGGATGAGCTTCCCCCCAAAGAACTGTTGGGAAGATAACACTGTCTCTATACCTTGTCAGCTTGTTGGAAGAAAAGCACTAGATCCAGGGTAGCATAGACACTGCAAGCTGGTGGCCCACAGGCCCAGCGCAGCCTGCAGATGTGTTTTGGTTACCCTGTAGTATGTTAATGACATGTTTTTTAAATTAGTTTACCATTCTTTAAAGATCAGGAGATTTCACAGAAATCTGCATTTTTGTTTTTGCTGGGAACATCAGAGGCTCACACAGCCCTGGATGCACAGTTCTGCCTGTCCACTCTTGGCTACAGCAGGAAGACCCCTCCGCCCTTCCCCAGCGCCTAGGGGGTGGGGCACTGCTCTCTGGTCAGCTGTTAGTCCAGCCCACCTGCACTCATTTATCCTACCTGCTTAAAGCCCCCATGGGCATCTGAGCTACAAAACAGGTATTAAATCCATACTTTATTGTCTCAATTGTAGAAAGCAGCAGTGGGATAATATCCAGCAGACACTGTCAGGGTCACGTGACATACCTTTCTTCCTGGAAGCCAGGGTTTGACTCCAGGCTGCACGTTTGCACTGTGTCTGCCCTGATTGGGGATTATTCGTCCCACTTAGGAAACTGTAGCTGTGTAGAAGTACCAAGTGGAAGGCTCTACTGCGGAGGCCAGACCGAAGGCCCGGGAAGCCTGGGCTGAGGAATAGTTGCAGGAGGGAACACGAAATGGCCTTCTTATCAACTCTAAGAATACCAGCTAGTCCATTAAAGCCAGGAGAGGGCTTTTGCACGGGTGGGGAGGTGAAGGGACCTGTGACTTTGGATATGAAAAAGGTGCGTTTGTTGCTCTTGGCTTTTGTTGGCCTCTGCTGCTGATCCAGGGCCCGGCGGCCTGAGGAGGATGTGGGACAGGCAGGGCACAGTGGTGTTAGGAGTAGAAATGTGCCTTCTCCAGACCTGTGAGCAAAGAAGGTGGGGAAATGGGGGCATGCGATTACTGATTTCTGTTTAAACCTTCCAACTGCATTAGTGTTTCCACCTGTACGGTGGGACCGGAGACCTGGGGCAGCCCCTTGCCTGAGGTTGTGCCGTTGGTCGGGAAGGCTGGGACTGTCTGGCTTCTTTCTAGTGTGTCACATTTTCTGTTCAGACACACGTGGTTTTTGTTGTATTCCTACCTCTCTTTTTGATACCATCTTCTCTGCCCAGGTTCCAGTCCTGTTTCTCCCTCCAAACACCATTCCCAAGGACATTTGCATTCCAGTAGAGTAATTTTGAAGGCCCATTACATCCCGGTGGAGGAACAACGAGCCAGTGCTGAGACTGGAGAGGCACCGAGAGTGGCAGGGCCGTCTCCCTGGCCCTGCCTCCAAGAGCTTTTCCCTGTGCTGGTTCGGTCGGCAGGGATTTTCCATATCTGATAAAAGTCATTTTCATTTCCCCGTGTTAGACTGAACTGTTTAAGGGCAGAGTCTGTCTCTCTGACAGCTGTCTCCTTCTCCAGTTCATCTCCAGTTGATCACGGTCTCTAACCAATAAGGGCGTTTGGGGAGTTCGGGGTGGGATTTCCTCTGGTGGTGCTGGTGAGTGCCGGGGGTCTCCCTCAGGAACCAGAGGTCGCAGTCTGTGGGAGTGAGCCTTCTGCTGCCTTAGCAGTGGCTCTGCTATTTTTAATTTTTTTCTTCATTAATTTTTAGAGAGAGAGGAAGGGAGATGGAGAGAAATAGAAACATCGATGAGAGAGAACATCGATTGGCCGCCTCCTGCATGCCCCACACTGGGGATCAGGCCCACAACCTGGGCATGTGCCCTGACCGGGAATCGAACCGGCGACCTCTTGGTGCGTGGGTGGACGCTCAACCACTAAGCCACACCGGCCGGGCATGGCTCTACTATTTGAAAGTCTCAAAAAGTCTTGTAGAAAGAGGGAGTAGATATTTTTACTCCAGAGGCCTTTCCCAGTTGGGGTCATTTGGATGCATTTTATCCGGGTGTGGTATCTAGGCCTCTCTCGGGATGTTCTTGTCTAAGGGATTTTAGAGGGTACTTGAGAAACATGCATTTAGGCCGCAGGGGCCCTGGCATCCAAAAGAGCCTGAGACCAGCTGAGCCCAGGTGTGGTTGTTTCCAGCCAGCAGGGTCTGGAGGCTGTGACCATGCTGCTCAGGCAGGGTCTGGTCAGTCCTTTGCTGGTGACTCTGTGGTCCTGCTCTCCCCGGGAGGGGGGGAGCCAGGAGAAGCCCAGCTCTCCTCAGGGCTAAGAGAGGAGTGCCAAGGAACTAACCCTTCCCCCTCCTCCCACTGCAGGCTGGATCCTCATTGACCGCTGTGGGAAGCACTTTGGTACGATACTCAACTACCTTCGTGACGGGGCGGTCCCCTTGCCCGAGAGCCGCCGAGAGATCGAGGAGCTGCTGGCAGAGGCCAAGTACTACCTGGTCCAGGGCCTGGTGGAGGAGTGCCAAGCAGCTCTGCAAGTAGGCATCACTCTTTCTTCCCGTGAGGGTGGGGAGGCCCAGACCCGCCCGCCTTCCTCACTTGCCCCCCCTGCAAAATGAGGGCACTTCCTATCTCACCTCTTGTGAGTTAGTGAGTTAACCCTGGAGCCTCTCCACTTTGGTCAGAGTGACCCCTGAGAGGCTTTTCTGTGATGTTTAGGCCACCTAACTACTTTCTGGCTTATTTTATTCTCCAGGGTGTTGGGTCATCTTGCATGTACTGAGCCATGGGTCATAACACTTCATCAGTTTTCTGGGTCCATCTTGGGACTTATTCTCACCCCACAAGTTATTGTAAGGAGCTTAGCATAATCTCTGCAGACACAGACACCCCTCCCTCCTCTGCTGGACCTGGGATAGGAACATCAGGGTCAATTCTAGTGACAGCAAAATTCCTGTAAAACCAAAATGCTACTAGACATAGCCATGGCCATTTATATCTAACAAAGTTTCAGCGTGGTAGAGAATCAGAAGAGTCCCTTTGGGTTGTCCCAGGAATTGGAGCTGTATATGTGAAGCTCTTATTTGGGCCTCTCCCAAGCTACATGTCTGTCTGTCCCACTACTGTGCCAATACACATAATGTTCGCTCCTCAAGGAACTATTTCCACACACCACCTCTAACTTCACAGTCTGTAAAGTCACTGTAAATTCAACCAAATGTTACAGCCTTTATTTTAGTGTTATTATTTATTTATTTTTTTCCTCTATTGATTTTATGGAGAGAGTAACATCAATTGGCTGCCTCCTGCATGCCCCTCACTGGGGATTGGACCCACAACCTGGGCATATTCCCTGACCGGGAATTGAACTGGTGACCTCTTGGTGCACGTGTTGATGCTCAACCACTGAGCCACACTGGCTGGGCTTTAGTTTCATTTTTATGTTTATTTAAGTAATACGTGCACATCATTTAAGAAGTCATGTAGTATTGTAAACTTGTTGTCAAAAGTACCACTATATACCCTCTCCCCCTCATCCCCTCTTCCAGGCAGCCTTTTTAAATTTTCAGCAGTTATTTACATTCATATGTATTATACTGCTGTTTATTGACATTGCAGTCTTCAACGTTATCTACCGGATTACTACAGATGGTTTAAATTTAGCTCCTGCAGTACCACCGTCCCAAAGCACTGTCCAACTTATATGCACACATCTTCTCCTGCTCTCCCAGGGCAGGTCCTCACAGTGTGGGTACATCGGTATTCAGAGTTTACACTGAGCTGTCTGCATTGTTAATGGTTGAGCCACAGAGTATACAACAGCTGTTTTTTTTCTCGTGTAACTTTTCAGCTTGCCAGGATTGGCGATTGCTTCATTGTTTTGTTTGCTTGGTTTTCTAAGTACATATCCCTAATTCAGCCCTAACTTCTCAGAAAGGTCACTCTCTTGTCGGTAGGTTCAGACACGTCAATGAATCTGAGTCATTTTTGTCTTGGAGACATGCCCTTTGGGTTTCCTTTCCACGGTGTCCATTAGTCTGAGGTGAAACTTCCAAGACTGACCTCTCCCAGTTTCCATCACTTTTATCTCTCTAGTCTGCTTTCTCAGGACGTGGTTGGTATTTTTGTTTTTTCTTCTTTTTTTTTGGTTTTATTTTTTCAACCCCTTCATTGAATTTTTTTTCTATATTTATTTTAGAGGGAGAGAGAGAAACGTTGATGAGAGAGAACATCGGCTGGCCGCCTCCTGCATGCCCCCCACTGGGGATCAGGCCCACAACCTGGGCATGTGCCCTGACCAGGAATCGAACCGGCGACCTCTTGGTGCATGGGTCCACGCTCAACCACTGGATCACACTGGCCAGGCTCATTAAATTTTTTACTTCTAACTTCCAAGAGCCTTTCCCTGTTTTCTGACACTCATTTATAAAGCAGGCTGATCTTGTTTCATAGGGTGCAGTGTCTGCTCCCATCTGTCAGATGCCGGTGTTGGAAGTTCTCTTTCTGCTGCCTTCAACGTCTGACTCCTTTCCGTACCTTTTCTCTCCTCAGTCTCATGTTTGAGAGGCTTTCCACGTATAACCTGAGCATCTTTGGCCTGTTGAAGTGCAAGAGTAAGGCTCTGAAAAGCTGTATGTGTGTGGGTGGGTCCTTGTACCGTGGGGTTCAGTGGTGAATGATTGGCTGACTTTTCCAGCAGGAACCCCACTGTCAGATCTCGAAACCTGTTTTTTTTTTGGACAGGTCAGTTCCTGGTGGAGGCATCCTCCACTCTTGCCTGGAGGGGCTCAGCCTGACCGGCTGCCTTCTGGGATCTGAGTAGGAGAGGGGGCCCTAGAATGGGGTGGCTCACCACTTAGTGTGTAGACATTCACTAGTCCCTGCTTTCAGAAGAGCCGCTCGGCCCTGTGCAAACCATGCCAGGAAGAGAGACCTTGCTTAAGCCAGGCTGCGGACAAGGCTCCATCTGGGCGCCTCTCGGTGCTCCTGCCACCTGGCAGGCAATCCTCTCCTTTTGCCCTGTGCCCTCCGGCCTTGAGAGCTATTCTTGGAAAATCTGCAGGAACCTTTCCCATCTGCTGGCTTAGGCTCCAGCTTTCTCCTCCTCCTTGGTTATCAGTCATCTGTGATCTGGTCTCCAGCCTCAAACTTTTTATCCCTTTTGTCTGCTGACTTCATTTCTCTCATTCGTTTTCTTCTTATGGGCTTACATTTTTTTTTATTCTTTTGCAGTCATTGCCGTGGTCATATGTCATATGCAGTCATATGTCATCTGCCATGTTTAGGGTTTATGTTTGAGTGGCTCCCTGGGCTGTGGAAATGTGTCATCGTTGTTAGTATTTACTGAGCGCCTGGCATATAACAACAGCCCTGGCCAAAGAGCAGACTTATTGGAAAACTCGACTCCTGGTCGTTCCCCCCATCCTAATTCACTGGTGGTAAGAATCCTCCTCTCTTCCCACCCATGACTGCCATCTGCCCTCGCCAGAGCCTGTCTTTGCCCGGCCGTCCAGCTTAAATAGTCCAGTGCAGGGCAGGCCTCCTTGGCTGAAAGCATGTTTTGTTCCAGCAGAACAAAGATGCTTATGAGCCTTTCTGCAAAGTTCCTGTTATCACCTCATCCAAAGAAGAACAGAAACTTATAGCGACTTCAAATAAGGTATGTTGGAGGCACCCTTATGGCATTCCTTTTGCTATCGCAGCTGAGAGAGGTTCTTCTGAATACGATTGGAATGGAACCTTGTGTAATTGCCAGAGGAAGACCTGAGAAGGGGTTAAGAAGGGGGACCTGTGGCTCCTCCTGTGTTCCCTGCCATTGGGTCACGCGGTTCCTTCTCAGGCCCCGCCCCAGCCAGCAAGCTATGCTGTCTGCCTCTCTGGCCTAGTGGCAGGGCCCAGCCCTTTGGGAAGCCAGTGGTTTATTACATCTGCACTCCAAGTAACCCTCCTCTTCCTTTTTTAAAACAACCCACAGCCAGCCGTGAAGTTACTCTACAACAGAAGTAACAACAAATACTCGTATACCAGGTAAGGCGTCAGCCAGAAAAGACCTCTGTACTCACTAGGAAAGCCTCCGCTCACACTGCCGGCCCAGCTCTTACCCCCTTCAGATGAGGATCCCAGACAGCTAGATGGAAAGGAAGGTGGATGCTAGACAGGAGATATAGTTCACACGTACCCTAAAATCCACCCCCTGCTCAACGTTCCGTCTCTGGCTGCGACAAGCACAGCCAGCGGCCCGCGGGCGCACTGACTCGGAGCACAGGAGTGCCTAGAGCTGTCCCTTCTGAGGCCTTGGCTCCACCATTTATTCGTTTTTTACCTCGGCAACTATCTAATTTCTCGGAGCCTCACTTTCGTTCTCGGAGCCGTGGGGACGGTGGTGCCTCTCTCCTGGGATTACTGTGAGGTTGAAATGGGGTGTGGAGGTAACGGGCCCAGCGTGTGGAAACACTCAGCCGATGGCAGCAGTTAGTAAGCAGTTTGTGGTCACCTTCTCAAATGCTCTCTTGCAGCAACTCGGACGACAATATGTTGAAAAACATTGAACTGTTTGATAAGCTCTCTCTGCGCTTTAACGGAAGGGTCCTATTCATAAAGGATGTCATTGGGGACGAAATCTGCTGCTGGTCCTTTTATGGTCAGGGCCGAAAGATTGCCGAAGTCTGTTGTACCTCCATCGTCTATGCCACTGAGAAGAAACAGACCAAGGTAAGGGCTTTGAGGGGATGTTCTGAGTGGCAGTCGGACGTTTGCACTCGTGCAGCTTTGATTGCCTTTGGGCCCTGGTCAGGTCCAGGCGTAGGTCTCGGAATCAGAACGGCCTTCCTTCAGTGACACGCAGCACATGGAGGCAGTCACACTGCACCCGAGTCCCTTAGTCCTGGTACTGATTCAGACATATCCTCGTGCCTGTGTAGCCCGCTGCCAGCACTGTGCCCGTCTTCAGTGCTCTGACACGCCTGTGTGCTTTCTTGCCCTCCAAGCAACATCGTTTCCCACCAGCATGGCCCAGCCCGTCTTGATCAGAGGAACAGTGCTACCTTCAAGATCTTGACCTGCTTACTGCCATCTGTCTGCCCTCCTCCTACCCACTGACCCGGAGCAGCCCTCCGCCCTCAAGGGCTGCTCTGCATTCCTTAGGCCCTGCCCTTTTGGGCTTCCTTTCAAGCACATGACTCCCTGACAGATCTGAACTCTGTGGATCCAGTTTTACATCATCCGCTCCAAACCAGTATGCTTGACCTCTGCTCTGTGCTCTCCAGACCTGGTGCCCTGCTCACTGAACTGCACTCCCATCAGGTCTTCTGTGTACTTGCTTTCCTTGGGCATAAATGGAGTCCCAGGGGCCTGACTCAGCCTGAAAGTACTGGGTGGTGGTAGAGGTGGTAGGCTGGGATGCCAACTTACCTGCCCTGTATTTTGTGGGGGTGCAGGTGGAGTTCCCCGAAGCCCGGATTTATGAGGAGACCCTGAATATTTTGCTGTATGAGGCCCAGGATGGCCGGGGACCGGACAATGCACTCCTGGAGGCCACAGGTGGGGCGGCTGGGCGCTCCCACCACCTGGATGAAGATGAGGAGCGGGAGCGGGAGCGAATCGAGCGTGTTAGACGGATCCACATCAAGCGGCCTGACGACCGTGCCCACCTCCACCAGTGAGCAGGCAAGCGGACCCGAGCCCTCCTCCTGCCCCTCTCCCTGCTCTACACCCAGATCCTGTGCAGACTCCCGGGCACCTTCCACTTCCCCTGGAGATACTTTTGTAACAAGCCAGATTATTATTTTGATATTACTCGACAAGGTGAATTGATTTTTACCCAGGTATTCGAATGCTCCCGTGACGTTGACAAGCTGTATCCAAGGGCTCTACTTTCTCTGAGAATCTCAGGAGCCTTGGGGCCAGGCTTGCTGGGTTCTCAAAGGAAAAGTATGAATGGGTATGACGTGCACGTGAGGACTTTTGTTTGCAGTATTTATTTTTGTGGATGTTGACTACCTGTTTGAGCTTCTTGGGTGGCGTTGCCTTTGGGGTTCAGTTTGACAGCTCTGAGAGGGATCCGGCCACTGGGGTGTCTTCAGGCTCCATAGTTCATAATCTTCTCCGCCCGGCACGCTGGCTGGTTCCCGTGCACTCTGCCGGGCACACTTCCCGACGGCTTTGCTAGCGGCCCGCTCTGCAGCAGGGTTCATGCCTCGAGCCCACGGGAAAGAGCTGCAGCTCGTGCCTCTAATGGTGGCTCCTTGTGTAGCTCTGGATGCTTCGGTCGTTTAGGGGCAAGCCTGTTGCTTGCCCTGGCTGGTCTGATGCTTGTTGGGCCCCCACACTTCTAGCTAAGGGCAGAGTTGTCCCTGGTCGTGAGTGCTCAGCCGTTCCTGCCCCTCCAGTTGCCCTTGTTGACAAACTGCATTCCAGGAAGGCTGTCTGGCCTGGGGCAGGCGTAGCTCACAAACCCAGGGATCCATTCCTTCCCTGTGAAGCTGGGCTTATTGCTGCAAGCAGGTGCCCTGCCCTTTGCTTAGAAATTCAGTGTGGCCCCAGACTGTCCTCCCAGCCTGGCATCCATGCAGGACCACCGCTCACATCAGCAGTCTTGGGGCAGCCTCCCTGCTGTAAATGTAGCCATCACCTGGAGATCCCTTTGGTGTCTTTGCCTCTGATTTTGATACAGTATAGAGTGAGAAGATGTACAGATCCGTTTGGGTCCAGTTAGTGTACGTGTTTGTGTTGTTTGAGGGACGTGTGCGACTGTGGACGGGGATGTGTGCTTTCGGTTACCTACCTCCCAGCCTCCTCTGCGCCTGTCACGGGACAGAAGTGAGATGTGTCTGATGTGGGTGGTTGAGACTAGACTAGGTAGAGTAGTTACACGGTGATAGGAATGGAAGGTAATGGAAGGGTATTGTCTGCTTTTCAAGGGAAACGTTACTGTTTTATACCAAAGGTAGTATTAACATGGGCAACCGCTGACACAGTATATTCCAAAAAAAACGAGTTTATATTTTGAAATGGTTTTTACAGCTTCGACTTTGTACGTGCTGCCCTACATACGACAGTTGTATGCCTTTATTTTGTATCCAGCAGCAAAGCCTCCAGTAAACCTTTAAAACAATCATGACGGAATCCAAAAATCAAGTAGTGGGTAGATGCTCTTTAAACTGCTGTGTGGGAAACTTTTATAGGAGGCCATTTGGATTTTATTAAGTGCTAAGGAAAGGGAGGGGGCTTAAAAATATTTCTTAACTATTTTATACTGTTTGGGTTGAACTTTTCTAGAAAGTCTAAGTGAATGTTAGTTCTGATGTTTCCTGTAGGAATGGAAAAGCCATTAAATACATTGTTTTTAAATGTTTACACGAAGAGTACGTTTGTGGACCAGTCTGACTGGTTTGGGCTTCTACACCTTATGTCGTGTTTCTGGCAGCCTCTCTGCTTTCGCTTTTCCTCCAACCTTCACTTGTGGGTTTGAGTCTGCTCCCCTGGGATCTGAGAGGTCCCCAGAGCATTCCAGGTCACTGCTGCGTCTAGCCAGGAGCTGGCAGCGTCCACGCGGAGCTGGCGTTCTCGTGCTGGCACCGAGGGCACCAGTCAGTCTTACACGTAGGAGCCATCCACAGAAGAGTAACATTTTATTACATCGTCATTTACAATGCAAATAGAACGGCTGTTGGTCCACCTATGCCCGAGACAGTCCCTGGCAGAGCCTCCTCGCCCTCCTGCAGTGCTTAGCAGGTTGGTCGCTGTGCGGGCACCTTTCAGCAGCTATTCAGGACCCAAGTGTGAACACTCAGCCTGACTCTTAAATGTGTGCTCTCTACACAGCTCGGTCACTAACCTTTCTGTTCTTTGTGCTATGAAAAAAATATGCTGTAAACTTTAGAAGTAGTCACTGTGTGTTGTATGAGCATTTGTGGACATATGTAAAATAAAAGTCATATAATGCTTCTACTTAAGTCTGCTTTCTGGGTCTTTTCAGAAACCCCCAGCACAGTGAGGCAGACACACTGCCTTTTACTTGACCACCAGGTCGCTCGGGGTGGAAAAGATGAGTCTGTAGCCTTGAATTTAAACACTGAACGGAAGTCTTGGGCAGACACGCTGCTGGGCTTCTGGAAAAGCAAAACAAACCTGGTGTGGCCAGTTTCCTATTGGGGAGGCAGCTCACCAGCTGGAGCCTAACGAGCCTATCAGAAATGTTAAGGAATTGGGTACATTTCTAAGTTCCATTTATTTACTCTCAGACCATCTATGCTGCTTCATTGTGCCTTGGAGGCAGCTTGACAGAGGTAGAGAATCAGTTGTCTACCTTACAGTGACAGGTTAAAGTGCCCATCGGGTGAAGATCTTGTTAGGGATGTTTATAACCACCCTCTTGGGTGACTTCACTCCTCTAAGAGGACAGTCTCATTTAGTGCCCCAGGCACCTGAGAAGCTGGGGTTGGGCTCCGGCATAAGATGCCACTCGGTTTCTTCAGAGGTGACAAGCCTCTTCCTAGAGCTGCTGGAACCTCTCCTTGAAGGTGTAGCTTTACTGGGTCAAATTCCCGCTTCCCGGGTACTTGCTCAGCCAGACGTCACCCTCTATCAGGACTTCATGCGGACAGACACCTGGAAGGGAGCCCACGCTTAGGCTGAGGGGCCTGGCACCTCGTCTCCCTCAGAAGGAAACAGTTACCTCCCCACCCGTTGGCATCATCCAGGTAGGTCTGAAGGAGCTTCGAGAAGCCACATTTAGAAACGGCTCCCTGAGGCCTGTCAGCACCGTCAGCCTGAGCCAGGCGGGAGATACTCGAGCTCTGAGCTTGGCTCCGAATACGCTCTGCGTGCTCCTTGCCAGGGAGGGCAAAGCACTGGGCACTCGGCTTCCTCCTAAGAGGGCAGGGGTTCCCAGGCCACACCCCCAGCCAGTGACATCACAGCGCCTGGGGGTGAGATGCCAAGGCAGGAGATTTCCGTTCAGAGTCTGAGAACCACTGTGATGAGGCCTAACGCCTTCGCCATCCCTTGGAAATTGGGGCTTTGTCATTTAAACCTGAGGAGGATTTAATGTCAACTTCTGGTTCACATTAAACCTGGCAGGTAACCTTGTTTTTCTTTTCATTCAGGTATAGAATCAGAACTAGAAAGAGAGGAACTAGCTTATGATTCTAGTCAGTCTGTAGAAGGCCTGGAATTGGTAGAATTGTCATCTTTATTCTCATCCAGAACTGCCTACCTCCCTCCCCAAACACAGCCACTCACCACTGTTAACTGTCCGTTTTTATCCTTATAAATTTGTTCTTCTGGTCCGGTGTCGAAAACTATTGTGCCTTCTTTTCCAGGACTGATATAAAACTGTAAACTTAAAATACACAAAACAATGAATTACTGACACATTCTATTACATTTTTCTCTCAGCCTTTGGTCTGCAAAAGAAATGTACTTAGGGAGTTTTACCAGCTTCAAGATCGAATTCCTATTTTATTCTACAGTGGTATTGCATATTTGAGTAATCCGAAGAAGAAAACTATTTCCACACCTGGGAAACTTACCGCACGTTTCTGTAGTTATTCTCAAACTAATTTAGGGCATTGCTTTCTTCAGGGGCCAATTTGATGTCTGAATAACTATGTACACGTCTTCATGCTACAGCTCTGAGTGCGCTAGGTCTGCCCTCGGAGGGCGAGCAAAACAGAACCAGCACTTCCACCGTCCCAGCTGTCCTGTTCCACGAGTGAATGGACTCGGCAGGTGATGCAGATCGGGACGTGATAGGAGCAGAAGTGTGAGGGGGCAGCCCACTTTCCCAGGGGCGCCGTGCCTGGTTCCGCCTGAGCAGCAGGGTGGCTTTAGGAAATGCCACACCGTCCCAGACCAGCTGTGCAACGGCGGCACCCACTTCAGAGCTGCTGAGAGAACCGAGTCCTCTCTGTGCCGGGTATCTTGCTTTCTGTCCTAAGGAAATTCTAGCATTTTCCGCTGGTCGGTCTGGAAGCAGCCTGCCAAGGTGTGGCTGTCACCTGCTCTGGCCCCAGGTGCAGCCTTCACTTTGTGACAGCTTCCCTCAGGAACATGAGCACCTCCTTTGAATGCTGGATGGGAGGACCCCTGTTCCCTTCCGTGAGGGAGGAAGTTCTTTACCAAAAGGGCAAGGGTACCCACTAGGCTTCTTCCCCAGCCCCTGCTGGGAGGCAGGCATGGGTGAGATCATTAACATTCCCATTTCCTTGATTCGTTAACATTTTAACACAATGATTTCCTCAGCTGGAGATGAAATCACCTACCTTCCTTGAACAACATTTACAATGTTCTCCTTTTTAATCAGCATGACCAGTTTAGTGACCGCTTCAAATACGTGCTCACATTGTAAGACAGCGTCCCCCTGAGGTGGAGAGGACGGTTTCAGTGGTGGCGAGTTAAAGACTCAATACTATGGTTTCACGATAGTCAACATCATGTTAGCAGCGACTGGTGGCCGTCAGTTACCTTCTGTTTGTTGGCTTCTGGCGAAACATGAATGACTAAGATTCCATCACTCAGATTGCTCGTCGAGACGCCTTAAGACAGACCCAAAGTTAGGAGCCAGGAACCAGACAGCTTGACAGTAACACACACAGAAGAAGAGGTACGCCTAGGGGCTCCCCAACCCCACAGTTTCCCTCCTAGCTGGGCCCAGTAGGGTGAAGGGCCGCCTCCAACAGTCGGCATGTTATTGGGTCGTTGAGGTTGTGCACAGAATAAAGTGTTGGAGAAGGTGACTACTGTCCAGCCTGGATACTTGAGTGAAAGGGGTACCACTGATTAACAAGCCCAGCTGGCCCCGGACAGCCCTGGGCTCCCAGGTACCCTACACCGCTCTCCTCCAATTGAGGGCTTCACGACTGGCGCCCAGGGGCTCAGCATCGGTCCAGTGAATTGTCTGACGATCACCTGCATCTTACCTTTGAGTGCCGAGTACTCTATTTTCTGCTTGATTTTGGCAAGTTCTACCACATAAGCTGCTTTCTGAGTGAGGAGGAGTTGCCGCTGTCTCGCCTTGAAGCCTTTCCTGTCGTATTTAATGACCGGGATACCATACTGCAAGGAGGTTACGGTCACTACGAGGGGAAGGTTCGTCGGGGAGGGGGCACAGGACTGAGTTCCTGGTGACCCAGCCTGCGGCAGAGCTAGTCCAGGCCCTCAGACAGGCTCGGCCAGATTTTGCATAAACAGGTTTTTCCTGCACCCTGGTGCCCTGCCAGCTAGATCTTGATTCCTAGCCCGGCCTGTGGTGGTGCCCTTCTGAGGGAGTCAAGGCTGTGGCCACCTGCCTCATGAATCTGCTCTGAGAGGTCAGCAGAGGTGACTTTTTTTTTTTATCTTCACCCAAGGACTTTTTTTTTTTTTGCATTTGTCTTCAGATAGAGCAGTAGGGAGAGAAGGTGGGAGAGAGAGAAACATCGACTGGTTGCCACCCACACGGGGCCAGGGACAAACTGCAACCGAGGTACGTGCCCTTAGCGGGAACAGAACCCTGGGACTCTGGCCCATGGGCCAACGCTTCAACCGCTGAGCCAAACCGGCCAGTGCGTAGGTGACCTCTTTTTAATGCGCTGTGGACATTAAAGACCTGAGCCAGAAGATAATCCGGTCTAGCCACTCAGAGCTTCTGTTCCCTGCCTGGGATCGCACCCAGGCGCTTTGCCATACTGCTCACCCGGGAAGTTTAATGATTAAGTTCAGGGCTGTATTTCACTCAGTTTCATAGGAAACCAAACAGTTCCTAAGGTGACCGATAAAGGACCGTAAGAACAGCAACAGGGACTTAATAGTTGTTGTCCCTAAATCTCAGTTAATACCCAGAGCATCACAGCTGCGAGCCCAGCTTATGCACACGCACCCCTGCGCGTACATAGTGCTTCCAGACTCTCCATGCAGAAAACACCCCGTTCTCGGACCCCATCAGGGAGTCCTGGCCCAGGCCAGGCCCCCCACTTCCTTACCTGGATTTTCTCAGTGCTAATGAGTTGAAGCACTTTGGGGTTAATGTCGCCTTCATCTAGGGAGGGAACCAGAACACAGTGAATCATCGCTAGAGACCCCACTGGCGTCTGCTGGCTTTCTGTCCCTCTGTGACCAAGCCCTCAGCTGGGGCACAGCCATCAGGAAATGCTACGGAGCTGAAATTTTTCCTTGGACTTTTTTTTTTTAAATAGGGAAATGAGGACGTAGATGGACAAATGTACTTACCTATCCGACTGTTGGCAAAGGGCTGATTTAAACTTTCTGCATAGCCTTCCTTCTTCCCCCTGAATGCTGCGCTGGTGACCACCTTCTGCTGCATCTGGTGACACAAGTCAGCGTCCAGAGCGGGTGGCCGTGGGGCTCGCCTGCCTGGGTTAACTGTGGGAGCTTTGTCACACTGCCACACAGAAATCGGAGCACGTGCCTGGCTGGGGCCACATGCCCTAAAAATCATCCTGGCAGAAATGGAGTTGCTCCTTAGGCTTGTTTTTTTCACTTGCACTGGCTTCCTGAACGTGGAATGTTCAGAATTCCAGGGAGCAGTTTGTTTCTTTTAGGTCAGGGATCAGCCTGCTGGAGCCAAGGGCCAGATCCAGCCTCCAGTCTGGCTTTGCAAGTCAACTCTTACTGGAGCACCGCCGTGCCATTCAAGTGACATGTTGTCTCTAGCTGATTGGGGGCTACAACGGCAGAGTTGAATAATTGCCACAGCGGTCATAGGACCCGAGAAGCCTGAAATACTTCCTCTCCAGCCCTTTATGGAAAAAGTCAGCTGACCTGCAGATAAGCATCAACAGACGCAGACCTCCAGCTGCAGACCTCCAGCCGAGAGGGTCCTGCATTTGCACTGCAGGGGGCCATCTGGATTGTATTCTCATGGCAACAACGTTCCTGATGCCGATTGTAACAGATTGTAACAGCTGCCATTTAATGACGGCTCTGCGCTAAGTGGTCTATAAGTTTAGCCCTCAGCGTGTGCAGGAGGCACAGGCCTG